GATAATATGTTCTGCATATTCTCAGAATGTTCGTCAATGTATGATCTCACGGAACATAAACTAGAATCCACATAGCACCGCATCTGCTCTTGTTGCTGTTGAAATAATTCTTCTTCTCTTTGTAGAACAGCCTGATAATGGGCTTCTTGTGTGTGCGATTCGTGGGCCATATGACTCTGAAACAAACCAGATAGAGAATTATCCATGTACGCATGTAAACCATGTTGCATGTAATCTTGCAACGATCTGGTATGTTCTCAAACAGCAGCTTTTGGTTGTCAAGGATCGCGTGGTTCAGAGCTCTTGATTCTTCAACAAAGTCTACCTTCAAGTTGCCACATAGATCGGATACATTTGATATTGTATACTGCCGGTACATACCAAACATTTCTTCCCAATAGTCTTCAGTTGCATATCTTGAGGTACCGGAAGCAGAACTAGGCCCAGCTCCAATTGAAGTTCTCAGTGTACCACCACTTGTCGCTTGCTGCGCACGAAGGTGATCCGGTAATGGTTGTGCTATATTATCCAAATCTCCATTGACAATGGCATCTAGTATACGATATTCATTGTCAGCTGGCAGTGACAAAGTTGAGTACCACGATGTTTCTAATTCTTGCTCGGTAGGTTGCAGCACTGCAAGGACTTCGATCTGTAATCATCGTAAACATCTTCACCTCAGCAAATTTTTCAATGTCAGGTTTTCCAAATATAATGCGAACATCAATGTACGTTAGAATTAAAAAGTCATACCTCTTCCGTATCCAAAAATTCTTTAACAATCGCTTCCTTCAGTATTGTTGTAGGCCTCCACTTGTACATTCGTGGAATCTGTGTCGTTCTGTACCTACGGTGTCCAAACCTTTCCCTGATCCAATACTGCAATAGAGTTACAGCGAAATGTCGATATATATTTTTGTACGAAGAAATTATACGGAATACAGGAACACATAGAATATGAACAACATACCTAAAATGCAAGTGGATAGCCTTGTATTGCATACTTACATTCTGATTGTCGGTTCTGTTGTATCCTTACCACTCATTCCAATTGTGACTCTTCCAACGAATTTAATTGAACGAAATATGCGGTACGGCCCCATGGATACGTAAGGAACGCATTTAGATGTTCAACCATGCTCGACGTTCTATAATCAATTTGTCTTGAAGTTGGTTTCAACACACACTCTATCAACATAACTAGTCCCAACTTAAATTTATCTTCTTGGTCTTCGCACATATGGAAACCTTCAAAAAGCATTCTATTGCTATTTTTTTTTTGCCTCCATGGAAGTATTGATCCCTAAATGATCATTATTATAGTCAATTTCAATGGATGGTTCATGACAAGGAAGTCCAGTAATTAAGAAAAATTCTTGCATGCCGAACCTGGCAACATGGTCATCTAACCGTACCCAAAGTTCATTATTTTTGGCACAATGTACAATTCGCATTATAAATTCGTGTACCAACTTGCTACCAAATTGTTCATGTTGTCCCCTGAACATAGCTCCGTAAACAAATGCACAAAAATTGCTACACAGTTTAACATTGTTGATTGGCATCTATAAACTTTACAAAATTGTTAATGTATTCGATTTGGATACTGGACGATGGTAGCAAAAAACCACTGATCTGGAGGGAGAATGTAATCTAAAGACATCTGCATAAATTACACAATAAATAAAAGTTTACAGTGAATTATTTTGTTTACGAAAACCAATATAGAAAATGTACGCAGAAAAATTGCAATTCATCGTAAATTATATTGTTAGACAAATCTTTTTTTATTTACAAACCACATCCTATAGCCTAAGAACAATAAAACAGAAAAAAAAAATGAAAAAAAAGAACAACAGTTTACAAAATCGTGTGTCACGGAGATGTGTCTCCGTGATAGTGTGTCACGGAGACACATCTTCATAACACACTCTAGTGTCTCCGTGACACACCCAGAGACGGTCTCCGTGACATGGAGAATGTCTCCGTGTCACTGAGATGAAGTAACACTTGAGTTATATCGAAAAAATTATTTGCCCATAATACGAACAATTTTTTTCTTCGACAACTTACTTCTAAGTACCACAAATGTTGAATAGAAATTTTGATGTGGTTACCTTTTTCAGTCGAACGGGCACTTTTTTGGAGAAAATGTGTGAGAAGCTTTCCAACAAAATGTGTTGCCGAATGAATGTTGCCAATGAGATTGTAGTTACAAAGTGTGGAGAGTGAATGGAGGTGAAATGTGTGGATGGGAGAGTAAATGTGAGGATAGAGTGATTGTGAGAATGGCTCTCTACTTAAAAGTGTGCATGAATGTGACAATTCATAACAAATTGTGTGGAGAGGATTGAATGTCAGTAAGAAAGTTGTTGTGTAATGAATAATGGTGTATACTTCTGTAAAGTTGAATGACAATTCGTTGCAAATTGAGTGAATGGCCTGAATGAATTATTTGCGGGACTATATTCACGTGTTGTTGTATTGTCAACTTTTTGTACACATTCCGATATATATCATGGCTTTTTTACACATCAATAATGTGGATTGTTGTTCTGCAATAATTGGAACGTTTCGGCAAATTCTAATTTTCTTTCATTTATTAAAGCTAATCGAGCTAATCAAACTCTAATATGTATAGAGAGTTGTAATTGCATTGCAAGGATCAAAAGAACTACCACGTTTTGACTGTATTTGTGGTGTGTCACATGTACACATTGACATTTCATGGTGTTCTTAAATAAAATATAAAAAAAAATATTTCTCAAAATTTCAAAGTAAAAGCGCTTTTCAATTTCATGTTTTGGAAAATAGTTTCTCGAATAACATATTTTTAACAATTTCAAAATATGCACACAAAATTGAAACAGGAAGAGAAGAGACCCCAAGTGTTTTACTGTATTGGTTGTAGTTAATAACACTTATTTAAGAACATTAAATGCACGTACAACTGAACAAGTGAAAGGGCAGAAATGGAAAATAAACCATTCAAATATTTGACTAAAAACATCTACTGCATGTGTCAACATGCATTGTCAGGAAAGCAGTACCTTCTCTGACACGAGTTGTACAAAGAGTTGAAATAAATAATGATAAAAAATGGGCAAGAATTCAATTGAATGGGGGCCAAACAAGCGCAAAAATAACTTACAACGATTCGGATGCACAGGGTTTTTGAATTATCTAAATTCTCTAAAGTTTATAGCTAACGACTCATGACTTACTAGCTATTTAATAAGACTGAAACTTGAACAAATGGAAATCTATCAATAAATATAAGTACATTTTCAGTTATTAAATACTCACACTTGGCGTGGTTCGGCGATCATTCAAACCGATCTCTTAATTTTGATTAAGATAGCGCATCAGTCCCCATGATCAAATTTTTGATATTTGAAGTCTGATTCAGTGCAAATTCATCATGTTCTGTTAAATGATAGTATATCTTACAGTATATGCTGCAATTACGGTAGGTTAGTACAAATCCGGTAAGCGCGAGTATGGTGAGCTCAAATACAGTATGTGATGCAAATACGGTATCTTCCAAGTTTAAATTATTAGAATGTTTGAATTGGAAATCATCAGAATGTTTGAATTGTATTTTCCAAGTTTAAATTATGTTTCTATTGCATGTGCATGGCTAAGAATTTGCTTCTCAAAAATTATTCAATGATCCCTGAACTATACCAACGTAAAAAATCTGTTTGATACGTGTGAAGATCCTTTAGATAACAAATGCCATCGAATTGAGCGTTAAATGGACAACACGTTACCATTGAAATAAAATTTAAAGTTCAGTTATTAAGAAATAGCACGTGGTATAATTCAATGACCATTGCGATACAATTTTAAGTTTGGTTATTAAATACTAACATTTTAAGTTTGGTTGTTAAATAGTAACACTTGGCATGGTTCAGTGAACATTCAAACTGATTTCTTAATTTTGATTAAGATAGCACATCAGTCCCATGATCAAATTTTTGACATTTGAAGTCTGGTTCTTTCAATTTCAGTGCAAGTTCGTCCTTGCTAAATTAGGCCATCACCTTTTCTATTAAATGATAGTATATCTTGCACATAACCTCTTAATTGAATACAATGGTGAGTGTAAATTCGGTGTATACTGCAATTATGGTAGGTTAGTGCAAAACCGGTAAGCTCGATTACGGTGAGCTCAAATACGGTATATGAACACTAATTAGTGAAAATTACACCACCCAATCCTTGAAAAAATTATTTTCAAAATTTACATATTGAAAATCATATTTCCACAATTACTTATAAATTACAGTATTTATGAATAAAAACTAAACAAGTTTTGATTTGCTATTTTCACTTTCAGTAAATGTGAAGTTTGATTGTCAAATAAAATATTAATAAAAATAATTTTATCGTAGCTATGAAATCACTAATACCCATAATATATTCCATTGTAAGTATGTTCAAGAATACTCAGGGTCAAGAATCTTGTATTAAAACCAGATTTAAATGCACCTGAGAATCACAAGAAACCACTCTTAAATTCAATTTACATTTACACATCTCAACTACTCACATTTATTCATCCCACATTTCCAACTACCAACATTTACTTATCCTTCCTTCCAACTACCAACATTTAATCACTAATACTTATTTATGAATGCATTCAAAACTCAACACAAATTCAACCATTTTGTTTTTAGCAAGGATTTCATTTTGTAAGTTTTCAACAACAGCTTCTCGCATAATCAACGATCAGAAAAGGAGGTAATTTTCATAAAATATGTGATAAAAATAAATTTAGAATGTATCTATGATATAAAAAATATTTAGTTTAGCATACTATTATGTTAAAAAAAGCAATTGAAACTTAATTATATAGTGTTAAGTTCTTATGTGATTGAAAAAATTTGAAGTTGGTAAAGTTGTATTAACTTGTTTAATTTGTTTTATTTTAAACGTTTTTTTTAACTGAAAATTGCGGGTAGATTCCTCGGAGTGCCTCGGAAGGAGGCACTCTGTGCGGAGTGCTTCGAAGGGAGCGCGGAGTGCTTCTAAAAAGAAGTAGCGCATGGAGTCAACGTGACTTACCCTCCCCTTTTTTTTTGGTTTTAAGATGATGTTTAGTATCAAATAATTTTTTTTTATTTTTTGAATATCAACAAAATAATTTAAAAACAAGGAATTTTTTTTTTTTTTGGTAAAAAATAGTTCAATTTCATTGTACAAAACTTTTATTCTTTCTAACTATGCATCACCGGGTCAACTTTTATTACCAAAAATAGATATTGTTCAACTATGAAATAAATAATGAATAACTTGGAGAAGAAGAAAAAATTGGTTTTCCGTTTTCATAACTGTCGCTACTTGCTAGTATGAAAGATCTGGTGGTGAAAGAAAAAGGGCTCCTAATTCCTAAATTTATTTGGGCTTTACATTGGCAGTATGGTCAATTGTATAATTTGTATTGTGCATGTGTATTGTTAATTTAATATGCTTATGTGTATCAGTGTATGACTGCACTAGCAAAATTTGGAAACTATAATGCCCGGGGATTCCAGCTCAAAATCTGTATCAGAGCAATAAGGGAACAAAAATATGATTTGAAGGTAAAGGAAAAGAAAGCAAATACTTATAACCATTAGATTGTGTGGCTGATATTTAGGTTTATATACATTAACAAGAACTGTGGTTTCAAAAGTGCTTGTAGCTTATCATTGAAAAGTTCAATTCTTTCATCGAATTCCATTTTTACAATAAACTGATAAGCATTGGAAATCTATTAGTTGCAGTGGAGGGATTTATAAAATGCATTTGATGTGTTTGAAAAATCCATGTGGATTAACCACCCTCAGTACAGAGGATTCAAATTTCATTTCATCACTGAAGATTTGCACAGAAATTAGAATTAGAATTCAGATCAAAACTCACCTGAAAAGGGATCGAAGTGAGAGAATTCTTTCCAGTCTTTCCCGTGGCAAAGCATCAAATTCTTTCTTCTTTGTCTTTTCTTCTTGCAATCCCCGAGGCCAAGTTCTTAAAGAAATACTTGACACTCCCTGTCTCGCACATAATCAACATATTAGCCCACAAAGCCTTCCGGTTGGTTCTCTTGCAAGTTACCAGTTGTTAGTACCTTTGGTTCTTCATTTTGTAAAGCAGCTTTCACCGAAAATTGTGGTTTCTGTGGACAGAGGATGTGATAGACCTGATTTACCATTTCCCAACCACATTATTCACGAACTTCAATCTTATTCTAACTTGCTTGAGTCCCTAGATGCTGTCAATGTGAATATGGATGCACTGGAAAAGATTGAAAGGTTCTTGCTCCAACCAGGAATTGAAAAAATTGTAATGGGCCATTTTCGATCCCCTGAAAAGATGCAGCATTGGAGGACTCTGTTTTTATCATCTGGGTTTTCCCCAATTACTTTTAGCAATTTAACAGAATCACAAGCGGATTGTCTTGTGAAAAGGACTCCTGTTCGAGGATTCCAAGTTGAGAAAAGGCAATCTAACTTAGTTTTCTTTATTTATAATTCTTTGCAGGATTGTCTTTGATATATAAAAGAGCAGAACGGTCAGTCACCAAAAAATTGTTTAAAAAATTCCTCTATTCGTTCCTAAGGTAACAGTCCTCACACTTATTCTTGTTATTATGTTTATTCTATGTGCTTACTTGTATAGATTTTTCACCTTTCTCACTAGATAAATGGAGATGAATATTGTTTTTCATTACATAAATGGTGATCAATGTTGTTTGAGTAAACATATTATGCAAAATAGAAAATGAAGGCTTGTTTTAATGTTTGTTAGTGCCTATTTCTAAGTTGGTGTCTAAATAAGAAAATTATAGTTTGAGTAGACAAGAACTGCTTTCTTATTGTAGAGTAGTTAAACAAAATATTCAATACTAAAGTTCTTTATTATCAAGCATATGTGACTCCTATCTTATGCCTCTTTATGTCCACGTACAAAATTTACGTTAAATTTATATATATATTTTTATGATTAATAAATAATTTTTTTAATAATTTTTGCAGATGTCGTTAGAATACATATTATCTCCAAATCAATGATTTTCTACTACAATTACTCAATTTGCAAATCATCAATACCTTCAAGATTTTGTAATAGATGGAGACAATCAAGCTTCTTTATTATGCAGTCACTTTCAAGGATTTATCTATGGAAGTAGTATAAGAACAAAATGAAAAATTTAGTAGCAAACTAATACATGAGTTTATAATGAGACTTATCAACTGCGGCAAAAATAATGAAGTTTGGGTACAATTAGACGATCATGTGGCCCGTTTTGACATGCAAGAATTTTGTCTAATTACCGGATTACCATGCCATGAAGTAGCTGTTGATCTGAATTTCAATAATACTCGCCTTAGGGATGAATATTTTGATGGTTCAAAAAGAATTACTATGAAAAGACTTTCTGAAATATTTCACATGTGTGAAAATCAAGAAGATAAATTCAAGTTAGGATTAGTTATGTTTGTTGAATGCGTTTTAAAACCAAATGGAAGACACATCGATTTCTGAACCCTTGGAATGGTTGAACAACTTGATGAATTTCTTATGTATCCATGGGGGTGTAAAGCATACTTTGTTTTACTAAATTCATTGCAAGAATCACACCTCGAAAGAATACGAAGGATGCAACAAAATGACCAAACGGATTGTAAATATTCGTTACATGGTTATCCACTTGCATTCCAGGTATTTTTCTTTTATTTTTTTCCCTGTTATATATCATTTAATCATATAAAAAATTTAATATTTCTTTTATTTTTATTTCAGTATTGGATTAATGAAGCTTTTCCTCAAATTGGACGACAATTCGGGCGTCGTATCCGTACAAGCTTCCAATGTCCACAAATGCATAAATGGAAGCCCAAAATAGTATTAACAGAACAAGTCGTTAAAGAATTTTTGGCTACTCAACAGGTATGATTCATTTCAATTTACAATTAAATATGTATTTAATTATTTATAAATAAATCTAAAACATAAATCTAATATTTTATTACAATTATAGATCACAGTAATTGCGGTATTGAATCCTACTGAAGAAGAATTAGAAACATTCTAGTATGCAAATATTTCATTACTAGCTGACAACCAACACTGTATACTAGACAACATTGTCAATGATGAATCCAACAATATAACTGAACAAATTCCAGCTGATAACGTACATACGCAAGAAACAACTATAGGCACTTCAGCTGGAATTGGATCTACTTCTTCTGAGAGCTCAAACTATGTAACTAAACAAGATATGGATCAGATGTTCAACATATACAGACAACCAGTAGTGTCAAATGTATTTAGCTTTTATGACGGATTAAAAACATATATGATTGAAGAATCAACAAAACAAGAAACTCGCTATCATGCCATTCTTGAACAGCAAGAACTCACTACCAAAGGATTCATGACAATCAAAAACAATTTTTCTGACATCAGCAAAAAAGCCAACAAGACTACTTCCATAACATGCAATCTAGCATGCAATCTTATGTGGATACCAGTTTCAACTCAGCCAAATCTTACATTGATGAACAAAATCAAAGTATGCAGAATCAATTATCCGACTGGAAATCACACATGGAAACGATTGTCAGCTCTATACAATGAGATATACCTCCCCGTGCAAGTCCAATTGAGTTTGAATCCCTTCAACATTTGAACATATTGAAGACGTGGAAAGATCGGTGAAAGAAAAAAAAGGTAAGCAAAAACAAACACAATCTTCATCAACAATGTCGATTAATGCTTTAGAAGACTATAACATTGACAAGTACGAAAACATTACAGAATGGATATTACAAAATCCATCGGGGTAAGATTTAATTTTACGTTGCTAACGTAAATATTATAATTTTTATTTTACTCATTTAACACTGATTTATATTCTCTTATACAATGCATATTGGAACGATGGAATCGGCAATCTATACGGAAAACAATCACTAGAAAATATACTAGATGAAACAAAAAGTAAAAATATTGTGGTAAGTAAAATTTAATAATCATAATTCATTTTTCTCCATTATTTATATAACTAATTTACATTTTTTTACTAGCATATTGATATAGAATTAAAGCTATTGAGAAGACTTGTTACCGCCAGTTCTCCGTTGCTTTCTAAAGAATATGCAATCATGTACCTTAGATTCGAAGCTGAATGTGTTCATTGGTATACAAATATGAAAGAAGGAATTGACCATTCTACAACTAATTTCAACGCATTACAGCGATACATAAAAGGAGAATTGCCTGTATCTGCTCGACCGTGGATAACATACAACCATTTACTAATTCCATCAGCATATCCAGGCAACACTTGGTTTCTTTTTCTTGTTGATTTTCAAAAGTGGAAATTTCATATATATGATTGTAGTCACACCATTCATACATCGGAAGAAATCAAAGCACGTGCAGAACCGGTAATGACTATAGTCGAATCATTATTAATCGCGGCAGTCATTTTCTCCATCAAACCAAGTTTGAGAAAACATAGAAATAAACATATGAAATTGAAAATCATACCGTATCTACCTTGTCAAAAGAATGGGTAAGCATCTCCACAATTTACTATAATATTTAATTTAATGTTATATTTACATACAGTATTAATATAATCTAACTTTAAATTATCTTTTCTATAGGCCAAATTCTGGAGTTTTCTTCTCAAATACATAGAATGCTTCATTTTCGGATATCCATTAGAAGCAGTTTCACCAAAGAAGATAATTTTGTACAAACAAAAAATTGCAACAGATATCTGTTAAAATGAATATTTTCTACGTCCCTGTTTAGCCTAATTCTAACAAAAAGATTCTTAAAATACAGTAAGACCCCTTTTTCAAAATTAAATGCATACTCTTATATTTATAACTTTAAAATTGTTTATTTTAAATATTTTTGTACATGAGAATAAATGTAGGTTGTTCGATAGCAAATACAACACCACTTAACACACAAGGTTTCAAAGTGTCGGACTAAAGGCACAAATTATGGTATTTTGAGTAATTATCCTCTCTCACACTCTTTTTGGATGCACTAAATTTTTAGTTCAAAATTATAGAAAGTTTGTTAATATCACCATACTTATTTTTGCAGAACCATACTATAAAAGTAATCAACTACCAAATTTGAAAATGCTTACACATGTTGAAAGATTATCGAAGGATACTTTGGGTGGTAAGCTTCTATTCTAAAACTTTACATATTAATTTCAGTATTGTCTATAAAACTACTGTGAAATCTCTTCTTGGAAGATAAATCTAACATTTAACCCCATAAAAATAAATAAATGGTAAGTTAAAGAAGAAAAAAACAAAAAAGATAGATTATACAGACGAATGTATATTATTTAATTCCTCATCATGAATATGTTCTCATTGCTTCTGACTAATGATATAAAAATTTATCCAACCTTCTATTATGTAGAATATATACCCTAATGTTCTGTTCAAAACATTTTACATAGTATTATGCCTCTATTGCTGCTTATGATCTACCTTTGACAATAGATTTTCCATGTCTCACATAATTGGATGGTTGCATTGTTTTATTTAGCTTGAACTTTATGAATTCATTTCATGTGTCATTGTTGCTTGATCTTCTGCTGGTTAAATTCCATTCACCCCATCGTGAAGTTCTTTAAGTAGAAGTTTATATACAAAGTTCGACTATGGGATGCAAACGCTGCTGAATGTTTAGGTAACCTTAAAATTTGAGCATTGAGCAACAATGGCTGCAATTACAAACCTCCTTATGAGTGGCAAGTCTACAAGTGATCTATTTCTTTTTCTCTTATAATAGCTTCATCTTATAAGTTTGGAAAAAATAGTCCCAAAAGTTCCCCGTACCATTTTCTTGTATTTTACTGAAACTATATATATAATCTAATACAGGGTTTATTATACTTGCACTCAATTTT